CGAATTCACACAGACAGAAAATAGAATGGGGGTTTCCAGAGGCTGACAGAGAGAGAATAGAGAGTGGTTGTTAATGGGGACAGAGATGCAGTTTTGCAGGACAGAAGGAGTTCTGGGACTGGCTGTGGCAGCAGTTTCACAGCAATGTGGGTCTGCTGAGCACTGCTGAACTGTGTGCACTGTGAAATGGCAGAAGGGCTCAGTTCCATGTTATGTGCATTTTGCCACAGTTAAAAGTTTAAAAAGTCTTTAAGTGTCTGTCTTAGGTCATAGCTAGAGGAAGAGGCATGAGTTAAGTGAGACAGGAACTTGGCTGGTGATGGAAAGAAATGTGAGCTAGTGAGACTTCCAATTATCCAGACCTAATGCATTACCTTTCACTTATAGTTTGATTATTGCAAAGTTAAAAAAAAAGTTGGTGATTTTAAGTTTGCAAAATATCAGTTTGGGTGAGGCACTGTTCAAGGACACAAAGTCATGATGCTATAGCTGCTTTTTCAAAGAATCTTGGATGCAAGGCAGAAATTTCTGTAAAGCAATGGTAAAATGGGAGAAATCTGGAATGGTTTCTAAGTGCACCTGATTTCCCCTGGAAATTGGTGGAGAAAAATAATTCTAGAAAAAGTAAATGGCATGGACTGAAAAATTTTGGAGGATGAGGCATAGGCTACCATTTAGAAGTTGAGAGAATGCCAATCATTCTTTGAAGTGTGCCAGAGTCATGCCTATCATGGTACCTAATATATTCCTCATGACGACACTCTAAGGAAGGCAGCCCCCCATTGTCTAGAGCCTTAGAATACTAGTTATGAACACCCGAGTGTAAAATTTTGTTTCCAGAGGTTGTGATACTAATGACAGCTATTATAAAAATGAGCTGTTAAAAGGTGCAGGAAACAACCAGGAGGAATAATATGGGGGAAAAATCACAAGAGAGAAGAGTAAGTTTGTGTGAGGGTTGAATGGAACATCTTGCCTTAGCCCTACAAGTGAAACATTTTATCTAGATTCTTACCCTCATGAAGCTTAGGGGCTACACAGCCATGAGTGCATGACCATCCATTTCATGAACATCTCTCCAGCATCTCAGTTGCACACATATCTCCCTTCACAAATCGTGATATATTTTCAATGGCAACCATAGGCGCAATGCTTCCATGTTATTTTTTTAAAATTCAAAGTTTTAAAAATAATACAAAGCTTTATGTTTTTCTTAAAATAAGGGTCAAGCAAAGGAAATATTTGAATAGGAGTCCTGTGAATTCAGTTGACATATCAACTAGATAGTATAATAGTACATGAGTATATATACTGGAGCCTGGAATGTGGGTATCCTCCTAGCTCTTCATTGCTACTTACACACCATTACCTCTTTTTTCTCTTTTAAATAGAATAAAAATATACATGTTTAATACAAAAAAAACTGGGAAGTACAGTCATACACAAATACCTATGAATACTAACTAGTAATTATGACCAATCTGAGTCCATCCAGATTTTTCTCTATATATGTATGTACACATACATGTAGATTTAAAAAAATTAGTATTGAAAAATAGGATCATCTTATATATGCTTGTTCATAGCTTGTTTTTCCAAAAATCAAATGTCCATGTTGATTTTTCCACAAAGTAATTCTTAATAGTTAAAAATTCCATAATATGGATGAGTCATAATTTATGTAACCAATCCGTGTTGTTGGGCATTTTACTGCTCTTTTTATTTTAGTTAATATTCAGTTATCATTGCAAATTTTAGGATTTAATTTTTTCAAAGCTTCTGAGCTCAACTTACACATCTTATTTTATTTATAAATCTGATATAATTTGTCCATAAATTTAAAAGACAACCTTTTACTTGTAACTGATTAATAATGATCTTATAAATTTAAATTATTAACTTAATATTTATTATTAAATCTCTCTAAACATTTAACTTTTTTTTAATTTTGGGAAATTGAACACTTTTTTAAAAAAGATTTTATTTATTTATTTTTAGAGAGGGAAGGGAGGGAGAAAGAGAGAGAGAAACATCAATGTGCGGTTGCTGGGGGCCATGGCCTGCAACCCAGGCATGTGCCCTGACTGGGAATCGAACCTGCGATGCTTTGGTTTGCAGCCTGCGCTCAATCCACTGAGCTACACCAGCCAGGGCTACATTTAACACTTTTATCAAATTCTCTTAGGCATTTCAAACCATAAGTCACACATTTAGTAAATGTATTCCTCTGTAGCACTTCAAATACCTAATAAAGTCTAATCAAACTTTTTTGAGTATTTATGTGCATAATGAGGTAAAACTTGTAGATTTAAAAAATAAACATTATTTATGAATTCAATTTGTTAAATATGTGTACATACCCACCACATAAAAAGATAAGTTTAAAATGTAAGATTTTCTTACATATCAAATATTTCAAATGATGAATAAAATATAGAAACTGTAACAATGATTACAAAACCTATCATAAGATCTGTAGAAAAAGATTAACACTATAATTTGACATTAATTTTTTACCATCTAAAAAGTTATTTTTGCACTTTCCCAGACTTGCAAGCTTACTTATCCAAGAGAAGCTCAGGCTGGCTGCAATGTGTATTTAAGATCATAGTTCACAGATTTGGCATCAGGAGATGAGAAGATGTCACAATAATTCACACAGGCCAGTCTTTATTTTGCCCACTACTTCTTCAAACCATTTTTTAAAATTAAAATCTAGTACACTATATATTCTTCTTAGCTACTGCCAGTCTTTTCTTCACAATTTACTAGTTCATTTCTATGATCACTTCTTGAAAATCCTTTACCTATGAAATCTTAAATTTTGATACACCAAACTAACAGCAACTCTCAACCCCTCCCTGGTCTGCTCCTTAATCAAGTCTAATTAGATTTGTGTGAAGAATGATCTTCTGGAGTTAATCTGGAAAGTGAGCCTCAGCAGACTTTTAAAGGAAGGGGAAGGTCAAATGTATTTTGACAGAGAGAAATATAAAGGCTCTGCTATCAATCAAGATGACTGTTACGTCATCTTGAGATCAGTGGAGGAGTCAGGTCATCATGGAAAACTCCTCTTGGGGTATAATGAAAGATGAGTTAGTTAAACAAAAGGAGGGGGGGCGATTTTACATAAGGGCTTTACTTTGAAATGGGAATTGGGTGTCATTCTCAGAGCAGCACGTTTTCATTCTAGGAAAAAACAGTAGGAAGGCTTAAACTTTGACAGTTACAAGGGAAAGTCTTTAAGGGTGAGTGACCATCACTTGCCAAGAACAAAACTGTTCCTGAGCACTTCTGGCTATAGGTTTTAAGAAATACAAGTTTTGGAGAATTTTTAAATTGAATGTATTGAGTGATGTTGGTTAATGATACCATATAGGTTTCAAGTGTACAGTTCTATAACACATCATCTGCACAGTCTCCTTCCACCCCCATTTATTCCCTCTTTGCCCTCTTTCACCTCCCAAGTTTCAGAGAATTTCAATGTCACAATTGTGATTTTAGAGATGGACCATATTTCATATATTTCTTCCTCAAATACTATGAACATAATCCTAAAAGTCCCAGCATTCCAGCAAACAATAACCAAATGTCTTCGGTTAGTACTACACTATATACATACATAGGTATCAAGACATTTGATTATATCTCCAGATTTACGGTTAACCATTTAAAAAGAGTTGCTTTAACTAAAGACTTTCTTTGCTTCAATCACTCTTACTTAAGGGTTCATTATCCGATTTGGGTTAAAGTTGAAATGGTTCACGACTAGTTTGTTCCCTGTGGTAGGCAGCCTTTAAAAGGTCCCAAGGATCCCCGCCTCCTAGTATCCATGCCCTTGTGTAATTACCTCTCTTGACTGTAGGCTGGATCTGATGAGTCAATTCTAACATGCACAAAAACGGCAAAAGTGACAGGATAACATCTCCGAGGTTAGGTTACAGAAAGATGAAGGCTTTTATCTTTCTTACCCTCTACCCCCTCTCATTCACCTGCTCCGAGGGAAGTCCAACACCATATTGTGAGCTTCCTCATGAGGAGATCCATTTGACAAAAAAAATGTCTCTGGCCAACAGCCAGTGAGGACACGAGGCCTGATGACAGCCACAGAATGTGAGTTTAGAAGGTGATCCTCCCAGGTGGGTCCTGCAGGCCTGGCTTTAATCAAAATCCGCGGGAGCCTCTGAGCCAGATGAATTCACTTAAGCCACACCCAGATTCCTCACCCTGAGGAACTGTGGTATAACAACTGCTCCTTGTTTTCGGCTGCTAAATATTTGGGTGATCTGTTAAGCACTAATAGATACCTAATAAAGTCTCCTTTCTTTAGACTACTTTCAAATCTTAATAAGTTCAGAAATGTGTGGAACTTGGGTCAAGCAGGGTATCATTAAATTCTATGAAAGGACGAAAGTTGGAATGTGTTGAAAATAAAGAACAATGAGAATATGTTAGTAATAGTATGTAAAAATGGCTTTTATTTTAGCATCAGTATAAATTTCCTTTGGATTGATTTATTTTAGTAAGATGAATGTATTTGTGTTGACTCATCAATACATCAATTTTTTTAGAGCTGTATTAAGGTTTTATTTTATTTTAATCGTTGTTCAAGTACAGTTTTCTGTCTTTTACTCCCATTGCAGCCCACCCCCACCAGCCCTCCACACCTCCCTCCCACTTCCATCCCCCACCTAGTTTTTGTCCATGTGTTCTTTATGCTTGTTCCTGTAAACCCTGCCCTTTTCCCCTGAAATTCCCTCCCCTCTCCCCTCTGGTCACTGTCAGCCTGTTCTGTGTTTCAGTGTCTTTGGTTATATTTTGCTTGTGTGTTTGTTTTGTTGTTTAGGTTCCCGTTAAAGGTTGTATTAACGTTATTAAAACAAAAGACAACCCAACCTAATATCAAGAGAAATTGACCTTTCCATGAAGTGTTTGATATAGAAAACACTGATTTTGAAATATCTTTTTTTAATTCAAATACCATTCTGATTATTCATGGTCCAAGAACATTCAAATAATAACCGAAAAGAAATAGATGTTAAAGGTTGATCTTCAAACATTATAGCCAATGATGCCACGCTTGCCTATGATTTCGCCAATGTAAAACCACATCCACACCTCAGTGGCCACCAAACCATTCAGCACAGCTTCCTTAACTGTGAGCTGTTTGAAGCTACCAGTTTGAGCACTATTGACTATTTTTTTCAAGCTCTGTATAGCTGTTGGGATCTCAGCAGGAGTTGGAGGAATCAGCTCAACCTTGGCATAGTGCCAAAATGTGGCCAGTCGAGGTTTTGAGTAAGTCACAGCAGCATTTACCAGCATTGGGGCCTTCTCTGCAAGGTTACAGACAAATTGGGCCATAGTTGCCGGATGAAAATTCTGTGGTCCTCCAGGCCAGCTCAATACATCAATCTTTAGGCTCAATGGCACACACAAGTATTTGGGTACCAGTTGGGCTGTACAGGATGACGAATGGCTAAAGAAGATGGTGAGAATAGCTCAGGCTAATCAAAATTGAATGGATGCAATTGAATGGATGCAGCATGGATGCAATTGGAAAACATTATGCTAAACAAAATAAGCCAGGCAGTGAAAGACAAATACCATATATCTCACCTTTAACAGGAACCTAATCAACAAAACAAACAGACAAGCAAAATATAACCAAAGACACTGAAATTGAGAACAGGCTGGCAGTGACCAGAGGGGAGAGGGGAGGGAATTTCTGGAGAAAGGGGGAAGGGTTTGCAGGAACAAGTATAAAGGACACATGGACAGCCCTGGCTGGTGTAGCTCAGTGGACTGAGTGCAGGCCTGCAGACCAAAGGATCACAGTTCGATTCCCATTCAGGGCACATGCCTGGGCTGCAGGCCAGTTCCCAGCAGGGGACGCACTAGAGGCAACCATACTTTGATATTTCTCTTCCTCTCTCCTTCACTTCCCCTCTAGAGATAAATAAATAAAATCTTTTTTTTTTAAAAGGACACATAGACAATAACAAGGGGGGAGGTGGAAACGAGAGGGAGGTGGGGAGGACTGGGGGTGTTGGGCTGGGATGGGGGTAAAAGGTAGAAAACTGTACTTGAACAACAATTAAAATTTAAAAAATGAAGTCATAGGCTTCTTGAGATCAAGGAATAGACAACATCATTTTCAACTCTATCTCTGGTCTCTAGCACAGAGCTGTCCAATAGCAATATAATGCAAGCCACATATGTTGTTTAAAAATTTTCAGTAGCCACATGTTTCAAAGATGAAAAGAAACAGGTAAAATTAATTTTAATAAGAGATTTTATTTAACCCCAAATATAAAAATATTATCATTTCAGTATGTAATCAGTATATTAATGAGATATTTCAGTGATTTTTGCACTGAATCTTCAAAAGCTAGTGCGTATTTTACACTTACAGTACCTCTGAATTTGGAAAAAGTGCTAAGTTTTTATTGTAAATACTTGAACTATACTTGCACTTCATATAATTTAGAGTTAAAAAGTAGATTTGCACTCCCAAGTTGTTCCAAACATGCTTAAAAGTCTTCCAATAACTGAATTGAGTATCATTTCCTAACTTTAAATTTACTAAAATTAAATAAGTAAAAAAAATTAAATGCTCAATCACACTAGCCATCTTTCAAGTGCTCAGTAGTGTGGCTGGTGGCTATGGTGTTGTATCGCACACAGTTGATGTATAGTATATTTTCAATAAATGGCTGCTGGATGAATGAACTTTGCAACATCATTTTACCAACTAAATTATAGCCATGAGTTAAGCTGAAGAAAGGCTGCCTGGAATTTCTTCCAGAAAAACAGTTATTAGTAATGATTATTAGTATCAACCAGAATGTTTTCAGTATTGTGTGTTTTTACTTCTGTTAATACCCAGCATGCTCTTCTACAAAGTAAAATTTGAACTCTAAGTCACCAGGGACTACCTTTGAAATGTTTAAATTCATTGATAACATTTATTTGTATTTTGGACTTGGGATATTTTGGGGACTTAAAATTCTCAACTAATAGGTATGGGGATGAAAGTCAAAATGACTAATGAATTGTGAATGGCAAGAAAAAGCCATTTTAAGAGTTAAAATGACAAGTAAATTTTCAAAAATATTGCAACCAATATTACCTTTACATAAAAAATTTACTACACAGATTTTGCATATTTATAAAACCACACCAATATTTTTCCCCATCCACACACACTCATCTTCCATGGATAGATCAGAAGTTTACTCTCCAAGTTGGGGTACAATGTTCACTTGAAAGACAATAGAAGACTGAGAGTAAACACAGGCTATTTCTGGATATTTAACAGAGTGGTGCATAGAAAAGCATAGAATGTTCATCTTATCAGTTCCATTCCCTTTCTGAAGCTAAAGCCATTTCTGTCCCTTTGGTAACAAGGGACAGACTGTTAAGCTTAGGCTGAGTTTTCAAATCTAAGCTGAGGGTTAAGACTTCAAAAATGTAGTGGTGGGCCTTGGACACCCATGGACCCACACCAGCTGACTGCACCTGTGCAGCTGTGCCTGCTGCCAGTTGTTAAAACATGAATCCTTCACTCTTTCTGACTGCCCAAAAGTTGATGGAAGTTTAGATGCACAATGATACACCAGCAGGCAGCCACACACAGGGAACAATGTGGAGTGAATGAAGAAGTATAGAGGAGAGCACTGCGAGAGAATATGGGAATGACTAAACTGCACAGTCAGAAATACAGCTGAAGGAAACAGCTTCACCATGACAACAAATGCTTTTGGTGACATGGTCAATGAAGATTTTAGACTGGCCTTCAACACCAGAAGCACAGTAAGGGGAATACATGGTATTCTGAGAAACTTTCCTTGCAGAGAGCCCTTCATTTCTGGACTGAAGAGAGAAAGGCTATGTAACTTCTGTGAAGGGCCAGGGGCTGCGTGATTTTTGTTGGACTTTTAGTGCAACTGGTGCCCTGGAAGGACAGATATTCTGAAAAATGTGCAAACTTATTCCACTTGGTGAGCAGAACCTAGTGGTCTGCTCTCAGTCTCAAGACCAGGAGGGCTGCAATGGTGACTATAAGGCTTATGCTTTCCATAATGGACAATGAGGGCTAGACTGAGAAGAAGCCTGGTATTATGCAAAGGCTGAATCTTGCAAATATGAGCCTGAATATTCTGCTGCCAATGGCATTGGCTTTGTGGACACCCGTAAGTGGGAGAAGTCCCTTTTGAGGGCAGTGGCAGTTATCAAATCCATCTTGTTAGTATAGATGCAGTCCAGGATACCTTCAAATTCTATAAAGAAGGCATTTATTACGATCCAGACTGTAGCAGCGAACACCTGGATCATGGCATTCTGGTGGGTGGCTTTGACTTTGAAGGAGCAGATAAGATAAACAGTAAATATTGGCTTGTCAAGAACAGCTGGGTTACAGGCTGGGGCATGAATAGCCACATAAAGATGGCCAAAGACTTGAACAACCATTGTGGTATCACCATCATAGCCAGCTGTCCTATCATGTGGTAGTGATGAAGAAGGACTTGATTGAGAATAGAATATCCAGAGGAGGAATTTTATCTTAAAACTGACCAGACCTTATTGTGAGGGAACTTGAATCATTGAAGAAGACCCAAGTTGTGATTTGAATTCTGTGACATTTCACACTGGTAAAATTTTACCACTTCTTTAATTACTGCTGCAAACAACTTTGTGTGATTGACTTGCCTAATAAGTTTTGAATTTTCATGTTTTTAAAAGGGTGTATAAAGTTTTAGCTTTGATTTTTTATTTTTTAATTGTTATTCTATTACAGGTGTCCCACTTTTTCTCCTGTTGCCCTCCTCCACTCAGCCCACTCCCTGCTCCCACAGTCCATCCCCACAGTGTTGTCCATGCCCATGGGTCATTCATACAGGTTCTTTGACTAGCCCCTTCCCCTTCTTCCCACCATTATCCCCTCCCATCTCCACTCTGGCAGCTGTCAGTCTGTTTCCTGTTTCCATATCTCTGGTTCTATTTTGCTTGTTAGTTTATTTTGTTTACTAGATTCCTCTTATAAGTGAGATTATATGGTATTTGCTTTTCACCAACTGGCTTATTTCAAATAAAACTTAATTTCAAAGTAGACAAAGAAAAACAAAGGGCCATGAATCTTCGCTCTCTTTTTTCCTTTCTTCATTTCTTTCTCCCTTTCTTTTTTCTTTCTCTTTCTCCTTTTCTTCCTATCTATAAATTAAAAGCCAACCATTTAAAGCTAAGCTGGTCCTGCAAATTGAGGGTATATATGTGTAATAGTATCAGTTCTAGCACCAAACACTTTCCCTTCAGTGATAGAAATTCCCCATCCACCCCCTAGTCACTTGCCTAATAATTATACTGTTTTCATTTTGACTTTGAAATTTTGTTTAGTTAGATAGATATACATTTTCTTAGTTCTAAGGAGGTGATTTATATGCTTTTCAAGAAAAATATTTGATTTGTTGGTTGGGAGATCAAATTAAAAAGTCAGAGAAAAAAATTCCTTTTAAAAATCTAAATCTAGCCCTGCCTGGCATGGCTTGGTCTGTCGGGCATCCTCCATGGATCGAAGGTCACCGATCTGAGTCCCAGTCCGGGCTTGTGTCTGGGTTGCGGCTTACATCCCTGTTGAGGCATGTGCCAGAGGCAGCCCATGGAGGTTCTCTCACGCATTGATGTTTCTCTTTCTCTCTTTCCCTCTCCCTTCCCCTCTCTCTAAAAGTTAATGTATAAAATCTTTTTTAAAAAATCCAAATCTAAATTCCCAGAGTTTTTTAAGTGCTAGGTGGAAAAACCACAGACACACACAACTCTGAGACAGGAAGTGATTCAGAAGACTTGGGATCTAAAAGTGAAGAAATTTAAGAAAAAATAACCAATTAATTTTCCTCTCTTTGATGTTTTAAGGTATTTAATTTTCCATAAATATCCTAATAAGAGACTATTACCAAACAGATTAAAGCTTTGATTTTTATGAGGGAAATATTGATTTATTGAATTATGCAGATATTCTAAATATTGACACATTTCATTATATAATATAAGACATCATATTAATTAAAGCCACCATTTATTGTATGGGAAGTGTTTAAAAGTTGTGAAGTTCATAGAGGTGGATATACATTTTCTAAAATTCCAATTTTTGCTTGAAAGCTTGAATTTTGTATTTGACAATGAATACTGTCAGTTGTTTTTTTTGCCGTGAAAGACTCCTTTCATTTATTAGAAAAAAATGGCAATATCCTAAGGTCTAAATAAACATAGTTTTTCTTTTCTTTTTTAAATTGTCTTTTATTATTTTTATTTGTTTTTAATTAATTTTTTTATGTTTCAATTACATTTTATATTCAATATTATTC